AAAACTGAATAAAATTGGCTACGTCCATATCTAGCGTAGTCTACTCTCTTAGTATTCGGATTCAGACCTCACAGAAAACCAGCGTGAAGTAGAGGTTTACCTCTGCGTTTCGCTTGGTGAGTGTAGGTGGCCGGAGGCCCTTTTTACTGGAAATGAGGCATTCCATCTTAGTCCTCACGGGTGACAACGCATCTACATTTTGATTTGTAATAGAGGATAGATGTAGATGTCTATGGGCCGCAGCAATCACTTACCATCAGGTGGACTGTGTGCTCGTTTGTCACCTTTATCCTATAAAAAAAAAAGTTTCAGAAATTATTACAAAGGTTAGTGCTTCTTAGAGAGCTGTGGTAGGTAGGTAGCTTTAAGGAGTCGCTGTACATTTCACCCATAAAATATGCAATGTATACAATGATTAAGTATATCATAATCTATCATATTTTTTTGAACCTGCGAATCCGAGAAATTAAAAAATACATTTCAATGACCAGTCATTTCGTTGCACTGGAGCCCTCTCAGGAATGAGGTAATGCCTGTGCCCAGCTGTGGGACGTATATAAGATATTTTTTACGTGGTAGAGGATAGTTTTACTGGAAACGAGGCATTCCATTGTAGTCGTCAGGGGTGACAACGCAACTGCATTTTGATTCTTAATCGAGGATAAATGTATATGTTTATGGGCCACAGCATCCACTTACCATCAGGTGGAATATGTGCTCGTTTATCACCCTTATTCTATAAAAAAAAGCTTTTACTTTACTCTTAGTGGTTTAATGAATGTGTTAAATTAACACGTGCGTCCTCTACTGTTCTGTTCCGGTCAGCTAGTATAATGGTAGACTGTGAGGCATACCTTCTTTATACTTAGAGACGCGATGTCACTTCTGAGGGTAAAGTCCCTCTTTACCAGTAATCTTTTTTTAAAGTTGGTTGCATATGTCCATGCACTGCACGTATCACCAGGTGTAATGAAACTTTTGGCACTTCAATTTTATAAAAAATTTACATTTCCTAACGGTGCTCTAACATTAGATTAAAATGCATCTGTATTTTGATTTCTAATCGAAGATCGACGTAGACGTCTATGAGCCACAGCATCTACTTACCACCAGGTGTACTTTGGGCTCGTTTGTCACCATTATTCTGTTAAAAAAAATGTTTAACAGTGGAAATCACTCAAAAATGCGATTTAAAATATTATACCCATAATTCGTTTTAAGTCTAAGACATAAAAATTTTCAATAAAAATGGGTGTCTGTTCGATTTGGTCAGACTCCACCATTAACTTCCTATTTGATTATGACTGTCGAAACTTGCGATACCTGCTCCCTGTCATATTTTTGGAACAAATTTCCATAGCGTGTCAGACTTTTTAAGTAAACGTTGCCGGGTGACTAATGACAGTGTCTTATTACAGCCTTCCTTATATTAGTGTTTCCAACATTAAATAATTCAATTTTCCTATGACCGATAATGCTAATTTCGAAACCAGAATGTGTTATTCCAACATTTATATCTAGACAGATATTCGAATCAACTATTCTAGCAGAATTTGATAACTAATTGAAAGTTCGATTTCTCAAAAAAAAAAAAACTACAGGATCGTTTTGCAAAATACTTAATCAGTCATTCATTATAAATTTAAGCAATGATTAAAATAGACTAGGAGACGATATAATTATTTCTTGTATTTTGTTTATGCACACACAAGCACAGATACACACACAGATATATTTTCAAAAATAATCCCTATGGACTTCAAAACGGATATAATATGTTTAAAAGTCTTTCAAATGTTGGAACCATTACAACAATTTCCAGACACTATAGTTAATGCTGTTACAATGGCAGTCCAGATATCTTATCATATACCTTTAAAGACGCATCCGTGTAGAAACCTAACTTGATTGTTTCTTTGATAATCACTTCATTTTCTAACCCTCCACTCTTCATCACACTATCTATCGATGGACCCCAGAAATGGTGATCCTTATAAGGAATTTTAAAGTTCACAGCTACGTTCCCTCTCAATGTTGCCAAGTATACGACTTCTATCTCTAAAGCACCCTTGTTTGCTGACAGCACCGCCGTCACCGCTTGTCCAGGCTGCAGTTCCGTTTCAACACCACTAGTGGTGCCAATCGTGATAATTTCAGAATGCTCTTCACTTTCTCCCCAACTATTTGTATAAGAGAAACCAGTCGTGCCTGTCATCTTCGCAAACATCACGTTCACATCATATTCTATCTCCTGAGAAACCGTAGTCTCTTTGCTTTTGGTCCAACTCGTCGAAATCGTATTTTCCACTGTTTGACTTATCCCCGTGTTTACTTTTATCGTCTTATTTGAAACGTTATCGAAGTCGTGAGACAACACTATCACAGGTTTCTTCGTTATTGTCTTTAGTCTTGCTGATTTGACTGTCAAAACTCGCGAGACCTGTTCCCAGTTATATTTTTGGAACAAATCTCCCCAAGGCGTTGGACTTTTTAAGTAAACGTTGCTGGGTGACCAATGGTAGTGTCTTTTTACAGCCTTCCTTATATTAGCGTTTCCAATATTAAATAATTCAATTTCCCGATCACTGACAATGTCAACTTCGAAACCAGAATGTGTTATTGTAACATCATTAGCGTTTGTTCCAACTTTTATATCTAGAGAGATTTTCGAATCAACTATTCTAACATAAGCTATAAATAAAATCAGTGCTTCAATAAATGTCTTCATTATATAGACTATAAAATATTATATAACACGTGCACTGTACAATTACTTATTTGTTTCTGATCTTAAAAACCGCTCAACTTTTTTAAAGTTTATTTAACCCTTGCCCCTTTTATCAAAATGTATTCTGTTACGTTTTTTTTTGTCGAGTTGCGTGGTGACTTACAAACTAAACCTTATTTTATGATTTCAATATATTTTTTTAATTTAGTTATGCAATTTTTTCTAGGGAAATGTATTACGACCTTAGACTTAGAGGCTTTTAAAAAGCAAAACTTGTCGGGATATTAGTTAAGTGAGGGCCTATAAGTTTTACTTATAAACTAATTAAAAATAAGATAGTATGGTAGTTAAGCGTTTTAATCTGAACTATCTCATCACAGAGTACTTTTTTATATATCTCATGTCCGAATGATGCGTCGCTCGTCTAAAGTTTTTTTTTTTTGGTTGGGTTGGGTTATTATTAGTTATAGGATTTTCCTGTCAACAAATTTGTGCCTGTTCTCTCTCCGGTCGTGTCGGATTGGGGTGTGAGTTAGAAAACATTTGTGCGGAAGCACAGGTGTGCTTGCGCATAAACTTTGTGCACTAAAATCCAGTCCTGCGGACTGTTGAGATGAGACTGGCCGCTGTGACTGAAAGACTTTATATATTGATTTATATTGAAATGTTAATTGCTACCACAGCTCTAAATAACTTTTTTTTAATAGAATAAGGGTGACAAACGAGCACACAGTCCACCTGACAGTAAGTGGTTGCTGTGGAGAAATCTACATCTATCTTCGTTTGCGAATTAAAATGCAGATTCGTTGTCACCCGTGAGGACTAAGATGGAATGCCTCTTTTCCAGTAAAAAGGGTCTCCGGTTCTCTACACTCACCATACGAAACACAGCAGTATTAAGCTGCTATTTTACGCTGGTATTCTGTGAGAGCGTGGTCCTTCCCCGGTCGAGCCGACCCATTCGTGCTACAACTATACTACTAATATAGCTGCAGCATGACTCTACCACGTAAAAAAAAATTAAGTTATTATTATAATAGATGTTATGTTAAATACGAATTTTTCAAATATTTATCAAAATGATTTTTCACAATCAATTAGTAATAGTTGTTCATGAGCTGGAGTAGCTACTTTACCTACATATATAAAGAAAACATAATTTAGAGTTTCGGAACTGATTACTAAATTAGAATATATTTTCTCCAAACATCTAGACCTAATAAAGACTAAAACTTTAATTTAATTTATGAATAAAGCCTTCAACGAGACATTCTAAAACCATAAATCTTGATCAGTTGATCTAATTCAGTCATGAACATTACTGGTAATGATCCACGTTCCATCTCCGGTGTCGTCACACGCATGCATGAAGGTTTTTATCAACAATGGGACGAATTTTGACACACGAGTGTTTGCACTTCATCTGACTTTACCTGTTCGTATTATAATGATATAGAGTCGAATCTTCGGTGCAATGTAGTTGTGAAACGTAGCCTGTGTTGCGGTTGAGCATTCCTTCAGTAAAACGATCAATATAAATAGTGCAACATGTTTCTGATAAAGTATTCAACGGGTTCGATTCATCTGGTACAGTTCAGTTTTAAGGTGTAAAAGTGGGTAGAATTTTTAATATATAAAATAAGTTTAATTAAATTGCAAAATGCAATTGCATCCAATTTCAACCGCATGGAATTGCGAATAGGACCTTAGTTACACATATTCCGTAGTCGAGCTGTACATACTGTAGCTATAATTGTATGTTCTCTTTACCGACTTTCGGCCACGATTCAATAGTAATACGTTTTTTTATACAAGTAGGGATGATATACAAGCGCACTGACCACCTGTAGAAAAGGACTCTGGTTCTCGTCACTTACCATACGAAAGCCGCGTAGAGCTGCTATTTTACGCTGGTTTTCTGTGAGAACGTGGACCTTCCCCGGTCAAGCTAACCTATGGAGTATTTTTTACGGGGCAGAGATGCTGCAGCTATAATATGGTTGTAGCACGAATGGGTCGGCTCGACCGGGAAAGGACCACGCTTCCACAGAATACCAGCGTAAACCAGCAGCTTAATGCAGCTGTGTTTCGTATGTTTTGAAACGAGGCATTCCATTTTAGTGCTCAGGGGTGACGACGCATCTGCATTTTGATTTATCGTAGAGGATAGATGTAGATGTCTATGGGCCACATCATCAGGTGAATTGTGTGCTCGTTTGACACGCTTGTTCTATAAAAATAAATATAAAAAAGTTGTTTTTATTTCTTGCAGATGTTATTTCTTCTATTAAGTGTGCTCTCGTTCGCTGTGGCTGAGCCACCGGTTGCGTAAGTTGCGTTTCATTATTATATATCTCATACGTTTTTATTCAATTAATTAACACAAAGTCAAAGCAAAAATTTTATTCTGCTTAGCCTTTACAAAGTATTTTTTTTAGAGTCAATAAAGCAAATTAATAAATAAAATTGAAGTGTCTGTTTGTAATCTCAAAATAACAGCTTTTTACTAAATGAATATGAAAGTATATACGGTACTTACAACAAAATAAAAATTAAATTTTTGTCTATTTTTCGGATTGTTCCGGCTAACCTCCGCAATGGCTGGACCTATTTTGACGAGATTTTCATTGGCAGATAGCTGATGTTATAAGGAGTACATTAGGCTACTCTTATTATAGAAAAAAAGTTAGGGTTCTGCGCAAAAAATTAGAAACCATGAAATCCAATGGTAATAAGACACGCGGGCGAAGTCGCGGGACACAACTATTCTTTTGAATAAATGAATGATCATTTAATTTATGATATCCTTTCTTCCTAATGTGAATGTATCTTTAGGAGAGAATGGAAAATTTAAAGTAGTAGAGGCCTGGAGAGTTCTCATTCATGCCAGGCTTAGCTTATATTTTTGACTATTTTTTATTTTTTAATATTTTAACAGTTACATGACAAGAAAAGAAGATACATAATTAAAAAACTTAAGGTTTTCAATATTTTTTATAGGGACAGTTACTTAGCATCCCGGTCAGGTTACGGGGAGTCTCCTCAACAATATTTACCGGAACTACCTGAACCATCTGTCCGGGGCTCCAAAGCATTTACAAACACCATCTCTGACCAATATCTTCTATCAAGCACTAACGGAATTTCTCAAGAATATGGACCTCCTAGCACCCGTAGCGGATTATCTCAAGAATATGGAACCCCTAACTTACGCAGTATTGCAGATTTTAGTAGTAAAACATCACAGGAGTATGCACCGTCAGTTCGTCACTCTCAAGAGCACAACCCTCTTAGCTCTTTGGGACACAGTTTTTCTGCGGCAAATTCAAAAGCAGGAACATCGCAAAGGTACGGTGCCGTAAGAACGTCCCCTTCAGATGTATACAGAACTCCATCACTCAGATCATCTCCAACAACACAATATGGTGCCAATGAATTCCAATCAACGAATGCTGAGGAACGTAATGTCCCATTCCAAAGAAACAGTGGCTTTTCGAATACTAGAAACTCATCGCCCGTTCAAAAGTACGGTGTGCCCAAATCTCGTAGCAGACAGTCTCTATTTGGCACCATATCACAGGAATATTTACCTTCTTTAAGGTCTAATACACCACAGGCGTACAAGTCAAAAGAAGCTTTCCCATTTGGAACACAAAACCCCGCCCAATTATCTAGAAACAGTCCTTCACAAATTTATGGAACAGCCAACTCTCTGGCAACTCAGTATAGTGCACCTGAAGCTAGAAATGCTGGTGCAAATTATGGCGATTCAAGCTTATTGTCGACTACGTACAATAGACCTGATGAAAGGAGTCCTACTCAGGAATATGGTGTACCAGAAACAGGAACAGCTTTGAAATCAAGCACCCTTGCATCATCTTATTCATCAGCTAGGTATGTATAATTTATTTAACATTTTACAACGTATTAAAGCCGTAATAGCTCAGGGGCTAAGTTATGGGCTGGGGCAGGGGCATATATATATATATATATATATATATATATATATATATATATATATGCAATAACTGGTCGAATTCGCAGAGAAATTTCATAATAAGTTATATAGGCAAATAGTGAAGAAAAATTAATTTAAAACAAATATCAAACATTTTGTCTTTTTTATCTTTTAAATTTAAAATGCGTAGTAATGCATTATTTTAACTGATTGTCATTCATAAATATCTAGCGCCTACTATTTTACTACGCATGCACACATTCGTAAGGGCCGATCAGTCGGGAACAAAATTGAATTGCTCACAGAGGAGCGCGTGTAAGCGTAGTAGTTGCCCATAAATTACATTCAATTTGAGATAGTTACTAATAAAAGTAGAAGCCTTATTTACTCGTATTTTCCAAACCTGCAATAACGGTATATCATTATTTATATAGAAAGCCTTTTAGAAAGGTGTAAGCTATTTTCTTGAAGGTGTCTAAGTCGTATCGGTCCAGAATAAACGCCGGTGGTAAACAATTCCACAGAGAAGTTGTACGAGGAAGAAAACTAGTAAAACGCACAGTCGTGTACCGCCAAGCATCCAGATGGTGAGGATGGTATCGTGAATTTTCACGCGATGTGCGTTCGTGAAATTAGACGGCTGGAATGAATGTATCGTGTAACATAACATATACATATAAGAGAAGAATACAGTCGACTTTAGAACCTCCTTCTTTTTGAAAGTCGGTAAAAACTTCGATTTCTTCAGCAAAAGCATTTTACAGCAACAACTGGAATTAGTTTGCCAGCATCTGCTTTCCATATTTCCAGTCATCAAAAAATGACTCAATAAGTATTCTTGCAATATATACGTATACCGAGTAAAAATGATTCCATTTTATTCGATTATAACGAGTTTCCGATTCTGGTGAGTGCCTTCAAGGCAAGAGTAAATAGTATTTTACTAAGCTAAATCAGTAAGCTGTACTACTGGCTTAATTTAGGGGAAAATCAATCTTCGAGCTGCTTTGGAGGAAACCTTCTGTTGATCGTCTTCGATGATATTTAAAACCAAGTTTTGGACACACTCTATAAACCAGACTAGTACACAAGAGACGACATTCATCTTGGTGTTATATTTACAGGTCACCATCCCGGGAATACGGCGCACCATCGTCTCGTACCGCCATGCCCACACCGCAGTACGGGACGCCAAGAAACCTCGACGGTTACTCCGATCAAGGCTACGAGTATGCAAGAAACGCCTTAGAACAGCTCAATCAGGTAAAAACTACAAAGTCAATTAAAAGAAATGTTACAAGTAAGCAAGCACAAGGATTAGGTTGCTTTTCCACCAGAGATGAGATTTTAACGTGGTAGCGCCAAGCTGCAGCTATATTAATAGTATAGTTGTAGCACGAATGGGTTGGCTCGACCGGGGAAGGATCACGCTCTCACAGAATACCAGCGTAAAATTGTAGCTTGACACTGCTGTGTTTTGTATGGTGAGAGTAGAGAACCTGAGACCCATTTTACTGGAAAAGAGGCATTCCATCTTAGTCCTCACGGGTGACCACGCATCTGCATTTTGATTCTTTATTGAGGATAAATGTAGATGTCTATGGGTCACAGCAACCACATCAGGTGGACTGTGTGCTCGTTTGTCACCCTATCCTATAAAAAATATATTTGCTATTCAGCTATGTTGCAAGGATGTGAAAGCTAAGCTATGAAACTATGTGACCGTTTCCACTGACGCTAAGCTATGTGGCGGAGCAAGTAAGACGTGCTATGAAGATGCACGGCCGCGTTGTAGCTGTGCGAGGAAATGCGCAGCTCTAGCTAAGCGATGTCTCGACAGTAGGGAAGGCACGGAGAGCTCTGCTCTGCACATAGCTACACCACTCACGACCATCCATAGCATGCATCCATCCATGTAAAAACATAGCTTAGTTGACCCTGTTTCCACCAGTGCTAAGCTATATGGATCAATGCATATGATTGGTGGATATCTAACTCGTCGACGACCGAGTTCTTTCCGATCGGCTTGACTCACCGGCACTGCGTACAGATGTTGCATCTCTTTGCGTATTTTATCGCGTCTATCACGGGGAGTGCTCTGAGGAAATGTTTGGACTAATTCCAGCCGCTCAATTTCACCTTCGCACATCGCGACAAAACTCACGATACTGTACTATACATACCATCTGGATGATTACCACCAGCGATTTTTCCGAACCAATACGATTTAGGGACATTCAAGAAAAGAGCTTACTCCTTTTTAAAAGGCCGGCAACGCACCTGCAGTTCCCCTGGTGTTGCAATTGTTCATGGGTGGCGGTATCATCAGGTGAGCAGCATGCCCGTTTGCCCCCTCTCCTATAAAAAAAAACATCCATGACAACGTAGCATATCACATATCTAGTGGAAGAGCACCCTTATCGAAGCCTTCAACGGCGCAGTAAGAAAATCCACTACCCCTCATCCCGTGGATGTCTTTTGTGGCGATAAAGGGAAACTGAAACAGGAGATGGGCATGGGCAGCACCTTCTTGAAAACAACCTAAAATAATTTAAAAAAAAACTGTGGTGGCAAAGCGGAGCAGCTATGGCAAAATTCTACGAGGCAATCTTTGGGCGAGGCCAATGTTCAGCAGTGGATTTGATAAGTTGTATTGGATGAACCATATAGGTTGCATATACATACTCGATTAAGGAAATAAATACAGGTGTGTTGTCACCCCTATGAACTAAGAAGAATTCCTTTGTTACCGGTAATAATTAAAAATTAAAAATTTTATACAACCGACGTCAGTATATATTATTAAGGATAACTCAGAAACTATTAGTCAGAACTTGATAAAATTTATATGAGACCACATTAAAAGAACCAGCTTTCAAATAAAAAAATCATCATCATCAAACTCAGAATCATCGAAATCTGTTCACGTATAACAAAGTTATTTATTTATTTGCTTATATGAGGTAACACACATAAAAAAACGTACAGTCGAATTGAGTACCTCCTCCTTCTTGAAGTCTGTAGAATAAAGGTCTTCGGTTCGTCACTCATGAAACGCAGAAATATCATGCTATCATTTTTACGTTGGTTTTCTGTGCAAGCGTGATCCTTCCTCGTTTGAGTCGACCCATTCGTGATGCAACCATAAATAACTTTAATAGTTTATTTTAACAATGGTAGAGCCACGCGGCAGCTTTTACTGTCGCACGGATGGGCCGGCTCGAACCGGGGTGGTACCGCGACCTCACAGAAAACCAGAGTGAAGTAGAGGTTTATCTCTGCGTTTTGCTTGGTGAGTGCAGGTGGCAGGAGGCCCTTTTTACTGGAAATGAGGCATTCCATCTTAGTCCTCACGGGTGACAACGCATCTACATTTTGATTTGTAATAGAGGATAGATGTAGATGTCTATTGGCCGCAGCAACCACTTACCACTTATCAGGTGGACTGTGTGCTCGTTTGTCACCCTTATTCTATAAAAAAAAAAATAACTGCAGCATGCTCCCATTACGTAAAACTGTATTATGACCTTGTATTGTGGTTATCGGTCTTTTATAAAAATACTATGAAAATATATCAATTCCCTTTATCATTCAATCATACAGCCCGTAGCCTATATCATAAGGTCCCCCCCCCCCCTATTACGATTTATTGCCATAGTTGCCATGAATGGCAGAAGGGTTGGAAACCACAGTATTTTTTTATTTTCTAGTTGATATCAGGTAGATACAGCTGCCCCTCTCCTGTTTTGTTTCCATCTGTCGCCTCTTACGACACCCACGGGATGATATGGGGTAGTGGATATTCTTACCTTCAGTACACGGTCAATTACTTAAACTTACTTATTAAAATGCACAGGAACCAGCAAACTACGAATTCTCTTACAAAGTAAGCGACTACGAGAGCGGCAGTGACTTTGGCCACGCGGAAAACCGACAGGACGATAGAGCGGAAGGGGCGTACTTTGTCGTACTCCCTGATGGAACCAAACAGGTACGTTGAAGTCTTTTTCTTCATCAGCTCTTCTTTTTTGGAGTCCGGGTAAGTTACACCTATCTATTTCTGCAAACAACAATGCACATTCTATTGTACTTAAGTGTAAAGCATGACAGTCAACATTGCAATAAGTTGTGAAAAGTTACTGGAAACGAGGTAATCCATCTTAGTCCTCAGGGGCGACAACGCATCCGCATTTTGATTCTTCATCATGTATAGATGTAGGTGTCTATGGGCCACATCATCCTCCACTATCAGGTGAATTATGTGCTCGTTTGTCACCGTTATTCTAAACAAATGAATTGAAAAAAGAACTTACACTCCTCCTGGTGGAACGTGTCTACTGCAGTCAAGTGTCTACCTGCAACTAACATCAAATAATGATTGCTTCCGATGTGTTGTCATCAATGAGGACTTAGATGGAATGCATCATACTAATTATACAAACTCTCTATACCCTTTAGATCTCTTACTTTTTAACTCCCGATGCAAAAAGTGAGGTGTTATAACTTGCACCGCTATGTGTGTCTGTTTATGGCGCCGAAGCTCTTAAACGGGTGTTAGATTTGGGTGCTGTTTTTCTTTTTTATTTAAAAGCAGGTTTTCTAGCGGTGCTTTTTAGACATGTTTTATGAAAATCATTTCAGCCGTTTCAAGGTCATCGGCCGTTTTTTTAGTAGGTTTTTAAATTTTGAAATTATTACTATCCATAGATTACACTAGGTAGTTAGTACTATAATTTGTGAACAAACGAATTGTATAAAAATAAATATATATTCATGACATATATTCTGTTCTTTCCAGTTAGTAGAGTACGAGGCTGATGAAGATGGATTCAAGCCAAGGATCTCGGTTATACCAGCTGACTCTGCATCTAGCCGCGCTGGTGATGGGCCTTATTGACACAACTTCTAAGAAAAAGGGACAAAATATTGTAAAAATGTAATACCTATTTATATAAATTAAAACTGGCAATATGGAATAATGAAATAAAAAATAAAGAAATAAGAAATCAAAGAGTATATTATTATAACCACTACATTATCAAATATTCTTTACCGACAAAAAATGGGGGTTAGCTGTGTCATCAACGCGACATCGACTCGACGTCTGGAATCAAGATTGGAAGAAATAAAAATCATTTTAGTTTATAGACACCTACTATGTTTATTTTGTTTTTAGTTTTAATTGCAGTAACTTGATAGTTAATCCGATAAAAGCGCTGTACTCGAGCTTTTAACAAAAGGACCAAAATTACTTATATTATCTAACAATATACGACATATTATAGCAAAAACCCTGTGGTTCCCGTAAAGTGCGACAGTAGGAATTTATAAAAGCAGACGAAGGTTATATGACCTTTACCATGAAAGATCGTATAATCTTTCCGATGCTTTTAAAGAATATGTAAAAAATTATTCTAAAATGTTTAAAAGAGTTTGCTCCACAGCCAAATCATTACATATTAGTAACAAAATTAAGGCAGCTAAGAATAAAATTAAAATGACGTGGAGTATAATTAACAGCGAAACCGGTAATGAGAAACCTCGTAATTCAAACTATCAATTAAAAATTAATAATGAATTGACTAAATCAAATCAAGAAGTTGCAGCGGTGTTTGAGAAATATTTCACTGATGTTCCTATATTGACAACAGAGTCATTGAATGCTTCTCCAACTGTCGCCGAATCATTACTTAAACAGAATGTTAATACCTGTTTAAAAGAATTTAGATTTGAAAAAGTATTACCGCATAATATTGTAAAATACTTCAAAACCATTGATGTAAAGAAAACCGCAGATTTGTGGGGGATTTCCGTTACAGTGATTACGTCCATAATAGATTTAATTGCACCTCATCTTGCTATTATTTTTAATACTTGTATCGATTCTGGTGTGTTTCCTGATTTAATGAAGTATAGTAAAGTAATACCTTTATTTAAATCTGGTAGTACATTGGACCCCGCTAATTATAGACCTATTTCTGTACTACCAACTCTCAGTAAAATTTTTGAAAAAATAATTTTGGATCAATTGTTAATTTTTTTTAATACAAATAAATTACTTCATAAAAATCAATTTGGTTTTACAAGGGGTCGCTCGACGTCTGACGCCGGTGTTGAGCTTATGAAATATATTTTTAATGCCTGGGAGAATTCACAAGATGCCTTAGGTATTTTCTGTGACCTTTCCAAGGCTTTCGATTGTGTTCATCATGATACATTAATCAGGAAACTACAACATTACGGTGTAAAAAATTTGGCGCTTAAACTTATTACTTCATATTTAAGTAACAGAACTCAAAAAGTCGTCATTAATGGTAAATGTTCCTCCGGATCGGTAGTATCAATGGGCGTTCCTCAGGGCTCGATTCTTGGCCCATTCCTGTTCTTAATCTATATTAATGACTTACCTTATCTTGTAGGGGACAATCACGATATAGTATTATTTGCTGACGATACCTCTTTAATTTTCAAACTGAAACGGCAGTCAATTAAATATGACGATGTAAATAATGCTCTATCGAAACTAGTACATTGGTTTAACGCCAACAATTTGCTCTTAAACGGCAATAAGACAAAATGTATTAAATTTACAATACCTAATGTAAAACATTCGAAAACCAATGTGCTCTTAAATGGGGAGGAGTTGAGTCTTGTGGATACCACTGTTTTTCTCGGTATTACTATTGACGCGAAACTTCAATGGGGCCCCCATATATCTAAATTAGCAAGCAGACTTAGTTCTGCAGCATATGCTGTAAGAAAGATTAGAAGTCTCACAGATGTTGAGACAGCTAGGTTAGTGTATTTTAGTTACTTTCATAGCGTAATGTCTTATGGAATTTTGCTATGGGGTAATGCGACTGATATTGAAGCTATATTTGTTTTGCAAAAGAGAGCCGTACGGGCGATTTATAATCTAAATTGTAAAGAGTCCCTTAGAGAAAAATTTAAAGAAATAAACATATTAACTTTGGCATCGCAATATATTTATGAAAATGTAATGTATGTACATAAAAACATAAATAGCTTTAATAAGAATAAGGATGTTCATACCTTAAACACTAGGAACAAACATAAGCTTGTAATGCCACTTACAAGACTCCACAGAATTAGTAATTCATTTATGGGGCAATGTATACGCTTTTACAACAGAATCCCAGAACATGTTCAAAGTTTGTCAATAAACAAGTTTAAAAGTTTTATTAAAGAAAAACTGTACAAAAAGGGTTATTATAATATCAAGGAATACATGAGTGAAAATAACCCCTGGGAATAAGGTGATCGCCACCATGCTGGTTCTATGAAAATTCATTTAAAATTGTATAATCAAAATTATTGTTAAGTGAAATTATGTTTAAAAAAAAAGTCCCGCTGGGTTTCTTGCTGGTTCTTCCCAGGACAGAGGTATTTTCCGAACCAGTGGTAAATAAAATAATGACTTTCAATAAGTATTATGTAATAATCCATATTGAATAAAAATCATTCTATTCTATTCTATTCTATTCTAGTGCGTTATCAGAATCAGTAATCAAACGTATAGAAATAACTTTACTTCAGAAAAGTCGACCATAAAAAAAATTCATCGTCATCATCATTACAGCCCTACACAAGTCCACTGATGAACATCGGCCTCCCCTAAGGAACGCCACAAAGCACTGATCACTGCTGAGCCACCTATATCCATCGACTTCCTGCGTGTCTTACCAGATCCTCACTCCATCTGGGGGTCGCCCTACTACCTACAACGCCTGCCGGTACGAGGCTGCCACTCGAGAACCTTTCTTCCCCATCGGTTGTCGGTTCTTCGAGTTATATGGCCAGTCCATTGCCACTTCAGCTTACAAAAACAATTATTTAAATACATACTTATTTAGCAATTGTTTGTGGTTTTATTACCCCTGCGGGTAAGAGTAGGTATGTCAAAGACCCCGCTTTACCGATGCACCTTATGATGTCAGTTAATTGTAATCAAACCACATACAATTTGTGAATAAAAAAAATATTTAAATTGAATTAAAAATATGTCTGAATACTGATTCTGACAACGCGCTTAACGAGGTTTTTGTTACATATTGCAAATCACAAAATTTAGATTCGCACTGTTGGTCGAATTATAAATAAATAAATTTAATATTTATACACTGTAAGTCCGCAGTGAGTTCGGAGTAAAACTCATCGCGCCACCTGCCGGAAAGGGTAGAAAAACTTCCGCCGATCAAGCTAGCGATATACAGAATACAGATGTTGCGTGTGACCAGAATCAACAGATGAAAAACAAATAAAAAAATTAATTGACTGACAACATTCATGATGTTCTAATTTCATTTATATTTAAATCGGTTGTACAGTATTTTTAATTTTACCACTTGTCTGTCAAACTCTTTCACTGTTACAACTGTACGACTTTGGAGTGCTGTTCCTTAGGAATAAGAAAATCCCTTAACTATACCAACACTAAGTTGGTGAATCGATCTGGCTTACTATGGGACATAGTGGAGCGTTTGGTTTGTGTATTTTCGGTAACCTATACAACCTCGGTGGTTTGGTACACGGTGGTATTAATATTCGGCAACTAACGATTCACCAACACATAAGTTGGCTTAACACTTGGCAAAAATAATGTCACCGCTGAGAGGATACACCAGAGCACACAAAGGATTCGTACCATTTTGTTAGGGGGAATGGGCCCGACCACAAATTGTGTCATAGCTTAATGAAATACATGTCGATTTATTCCTCATAATTTATAGATTACAATAGTAATATAAGTTTTACCGTATCTAACGGGAATACTGAGAAATCAACAATTAAAACATGAATATCACAATAACCTAAAAATAAACTAAAAGCATACACTCGAATTAAGTAAATAATACTTATTGAAAGTCATTCTTGTTTAATTACCACTGGTTCGAAAAAAAAACCTCTGTCCTTGGAAGAACCAGCAAGAAACCCAGCGGGACTTTTCTTTTAAATAATAGCTTACAATCAGAGGCGTAGCGTGGACTAATATAAACGGGGGCGAATTTGCATCAGCGAGACCCGTTTTCTTTCGTTCCAAGGATCTACCCAATAGATTTACCCTACCAAGCATGCTTTGACACGACATACGAGGGCGACAGTGAACGTTTTTAGAACTGGCCACTTGTAGATTTCGATTGGTCCTTCACGATGAAGCGCCATCTGGTGCCACACTTTACAACTGGTTTAATGAGTTTGCACTAATCTCACCGATGATCTGCGTGAGGGATGGCCTTCTACGGCGACGACTGACGATAACATCAGTGTTCTGTGGCGTATGATAGAGACAGCCAAAAGATTGACTTATCAGCAGATTCGGATAAGCTTAGGCATCAGTATAGTCAAGTGCACAAAATCCTCCATGAATATTTAGCGGTCAGGAAGCTTTGTGTCCGGTGGACACCTCATAATTTGACAGAGGCCCAAAAACTCCGTCGTGTTGATCGGTGTCGTGAAATGGTTCAAAGATTCAACGGAGGTGACTCAAATGCTGTGTTCGACATACTTACGGGTGACCAAAAGCTGGATTTATTGTTATGTTCCTGAAAAAGACAGTCTGCTGTCTGGGTGTTTTCTTCTGAGGAGTTGCCAATTAAACTAAAGAGAGGTCGAAACGTGGGAAAAAAGTTGGTGGCCTCGCATTATGCGACAATTGTTTTAGTGGACCGAAAAACAGTTACTGCAGACTGGTACACTAACAATTGTTTGCCACTTGTCTTGGAAAAAGTTCGGGAGAAAAGACCTCGCAGTAGGATCCTCCTTCATCAACGCTTCGTCGCACACCGCCAAGCAAATAATCGACTACTTGGCAACATCAGACGTGGAATTACTGGGTCACGCGCCCTATAGCCCCGACCTTGCGATGTTTATTTATTT